CTAGAACACAGCAAACATGCAGCAACAGTAACCACCCTTCATTCAGTCTCCTCTCCTGGCCCTGTTTTTACTCAAATGGAATCAGCTTTTAGTCTGTCTCTTAATTGCATGGGGGAGGAGCAGACCAGTTGTCTGGGTGTCTGCTGCAATGTCCTGTGCATAGAAAGCTGTTAAGTATTGGCTGAATGAATTAAAAAAAAAAAAAGAAAGAAAGAAAGAAAAAAAGCAAATGATGCACCTAAATATGGACACCTAGGTGTCCCTAGGGGATGGTAAGGCCAATACCCTGCAGTACCTACATGTGACACTAGATGGCACAAAAGTACACAAGCTAGACAGGCAGCAAATTGGAAGGGCTTGGGTTTTAGGTCTAAGAACAGCTGCCAGCAGGATGCACAGGCATCACCAGGTTCTCCAGAGACAGACCCTGTGAGCCATGTGCTCATGCAGGTCCAGATCTGCATGTCTGGGCCTTCTACACAATACAGCCTCGCTTAGGGAGCCCTGTCTTTTTCCTCTATGTGGGAAGGCCTTCACTGGGTTGGATGTCATCCAACCACACTATAGAGAAATCTGCTTCACTTTGGGTTGGCCAACACAGTGAGAATCTCATGCAGGGGCACACTTAAAGGTGACACAGCTAACTTTCATACCCACACTGGGGCTGAGAAACCATGACTTGCATGAAGACCCATGTCTTTTACCTTTCCGTCTCCCAGTAGCATGCAGTCTTGGCCTTAACACTTCCCTCATCTTCCCAAATCAATAACCAAATCTCTTCCCCTTTTCTCACAAATCACTCAGAAGGCAATCCTTCCTGTTTCAGCCAGGAATCACAGCTGCATACCATCATCCCCACTAAGCACAATTACCAAGGGTACTCTCCAGACGTTCAGTGTTTTATACTAGCTATTCAAGTTCTGTGAATGAAGGTAAAGAATTTAATTTGAGGTGAGGAAGTTGGTATCAAGACTGCATTCCACCCTCCCAGCAAAACACAGGTGTAGTTGCTGACAGGAAATACCTTGTTTACATGGCTATTTAAATTGGGGCTTCAATTTTTCCCACTGGCCAACCAATTAGCTCAAGAAATTTCTACACGCCCCAGGTAAGGGACCTATGAAATAGACAAGTCAAACATTACTGGTATTAAATCATAAGGGTATTTATTTGGAAACAAGATGCATGCGAATGAGATGAATGTGCTTTCACATTACATAATTTAGGTGAGTATCTGATCGATGTAGAACACCTTCAGCATTTCAGAGCTGGTCGGTATTTCAACTTTATAAGCAACTTAGAGAACACTTCACATAAACACACGTTTAGGGTCATTTCAAAAAATGCTGAAAATTCTGCTGTCACAAGCCAAAAAATTAGTTTTTTATGAAACTCAAACCAAAAACTCTTGAAAAGCAAAGCAATGGAAGCAAATGCCTATGATCCCAGCACTTGGAAATTACAGCATCTTCAAGCTACTCAAGCTCAAGGATGACTTAGAAACAAAAGATGGATCAGTGACAGGATCTAATCCTGAAACTAACACTACTGAGGATGAAGATGGGAACTAAGCTCCTGTTTAGCACTTGGGGGCAGTGGAGGCAGCTGGATCTGAGTTCTGGGCCAGCTAAGGCTACACAGAGAGAGCTTGTTCTAAATATATAGCCAAACATGGAAGCACACTCATGTAAACCCAGTATTCCATAGATGAAGAGGATCAAGAAAGAGTTCAAGGCTAGCCCAAACTACAAGAAAGTAAAGTGAGTCAAAACAAAACTCAGCTCCCTCCCTATCTTGTCAATTTACCCTTTTTAATTCAAATCCTGAAACTTCCAGCCTCCACAGGGTTCAAAACTGTACACTCAAGGGTGACCTCAGCCACCCAGATGGAGCACAGGTGTGCCTGTCCCCCCCCCCTTCCAGATTTATTTGTGCTCATAAATTTCAAGGGAGCGGTTCTACTATAACCACAAGTGATGGGCCCTAAAATGGGCATAGTGATACATTCCACAATTCCCAGCACTTCAGGAGGCTGAGGCAAGAGATGAGACTGACTGAAAGGCTTAATGAAGGAGAGGGTTACCCTGCCAGTGGAGCCCTAATTAACACAGGAAACAAATATGTGATATGGACAGCATCTCCAGCAAATGCTGTACCAATCCTAGTCTCTGCAAAGCTTTATCACTTAGGTGTTCACTGTCATGAGTCAATGAATGCAGACTGGTCAACTCATCAAAGCCTGCAGGGCTCATACTTAACCAAGCCCAGCAGGTTCCAGTCTCCACAATGTTCCCATCACACCTGCACATGGAGGTCAGGGACATCTACTCTCCAACAAAGACCTGGTCAACCATTCTCTAGGATCAACTCTTCACCTTCCAGCCCCCTTGCTTCTTGGCAAAATTTGACAATTGTGCATGAAGCCTCTCCATGCTAATGTACTAAGGGGCCTAAGGTTCACTTCACAATGCCTTTTACCCTACACACAGTGCTGGACTTGTATTGGATAAGGGTGATTATTGCCTCCCAAAACAGAGAAACTGCTTAGTGTAATTTTGTGAATAAATCCATCTAGTTGGGACTACAGAGAAAATTTAATGTTAAATTGATCATTTCAAAAATGCAGAGTTGCTGCCCAGATTTTAAATGGTGACTAGGTATTGTCATAAAGCATCTCACTGTGTAGTTAGGCTTTCCTGTTGGCGATTCCCACATCACCACTAAACACTGTCACTTTTACAGTCTGTATCTACTATCACACTGTCTAACAGACACCACCCTATCCCAGACATGACTACACAGAAGCCCTCAACCACTGGCATTAAGGCATGGTTTCTTAACTTACAACCTGACATACTTTCCATGCTGGAAATCAGGTAATAGGCTTCTGTGCGGATGGGCAAGGGCCACATAGATCTCAGAGGGTTGTAACTAAAGCTTGGCATGCTTTCTAGGTAGTCACCAAGATCAACAGCATTTAGTTCTGCAAATACACACCAAGCCAAATGTTCTCTAAACCCTTTAATAGAGCTGAGGCAGAAGAAATTAACACTTCATTTTTTTCTTGGTGAGATTTGTCAACATCATACCCCTAAATCCCCCACGTCTTCAGCATCAATAGTTTTAGTTCAACACTCTGGTCCACAGGTTAAAATCATAAAAGTGTTCAATAGTATAAACAATCAAACTTGCTGGAGATAAAAATGAATACAACACCTGGACTTTGCCTAAGTTATGTTCTCTACACTATTAAGAGCATTTATACAACCTTTCCAGGCAGCTCTATTTAAAATGTTTTTAGTTAAGAAAACAGTGGCACCTATGCCCAAGGCAGCACGTCAACATGCTGTAACATGCACATTCCCGACTGTCCCTGTCAACACTTAAGCTGTTTTTATACTACTTGAGTGTTGCCCTTTGGTGTCACTGACCAGCACAAAGGCTTCCTGGTTCCATCTGTTTAACTTGAGGTGGAAAGAAATAGTGTTCAGCACTTGTTTTTGTAGAGCAAAGTAGACCTCTGCCCACATTTGCCACTTAAGTCTTGGCTTAATCGGCCTCAAAGACAGTATCTACATCTCACCCTCCATCGCCAGGAGCCAGGCCACCTAGTACACACTGCACACCTTTCTTACTTCCATACTCCCTTTGGTACTCATCCATACCTGGGCTGATGCACGACTCTTGGCAGTGCAGTCAATCTCTGACTAATCACCATTATGATGCTTGGGACTGGAGGGCCAACCAGCAAAACTCAGGCAGCATTTATTTTATTTGTAGCATCAAACCTCCAAACACGAATACCAAGAAAGTACTGTTTAAGGGTTCAGTATCAAAGGCCTGAAAAGTCTCAAAGTGTGTGTGACTCCAGGCCTGGCGGCACTCCACCAGAATACTAGAGCAAGATTCCTATGTGAGGGAAGATGTTCAAAGCTGCTATCTACACACCAACCAGAGGCAGGTAAAGCCTGATTCTTCCTACTACATTACTATCAAAACAAATTCATGGGAAAGGGGAGCAAAGCCCAAGCAAGTCTAGGGTATGGAGGCAGATGAGCTGCCCCTTGAGAATGCTGCTCAGTGAACAGATACCAGCACAGACCACAAGGTCTTCACAATTCAGAAACAGTCCATGTCAACAGGTGATTTGTCACTTTCTGAGAAGAGGTCCCACCTGCTTCAGCTAGTCTCCAGTCAGGATGACACTCCACTGTCACTGTACAAGATAAATTAATCAATCCACAGGAGGACTGAAGAGAACACTATTAAAACCAAAAAGGAATCAATACTTTCACAAGTAGCCCATCACAACTGTCTTAACAGGTTTCTGGTTAATTTACACAACAGTAACAGAATCTCTCCACATTAATAACAAGTGACAAAGGAGTTATTTCACTTTGAGGTTTAATTGAGAAATACCAAGTCAGGCAAACATGCAAACTCAGAATATAAAGAAAGTACAAGGCCTGGTTGTTCTGAAATAAATCATTGGCCATCGGCTGGAGATGGAACACTGGACAGAACAAAATTAAATTCCACACTGAAAGAGCCACCCCAGAGATGAGCAAACTGGTCTTTTTAGTCTGTAAAGAGCAGAGTGAGCAGAGAGAAGGGCAAGGCTCACCCAGGTTGAATTCCCAGTGCTATCTACAGCCAGGTGCTTGAAATACTAGGAGTTAAGTGCCCAACACATTAAGCCACTGATGTAGACTGAAGCTTCTAAGGAAACACAGGAGAGACCAGGATTGTTAACAGCACAACTGCACACTTCACATGTTCAAGAGTAAACAGAAAGATTTTAATGCTCAGTTTTTACAAACAAGTTTCTATCCAATTTTATGGTTTACATTAAAATGTACTAGTGTTTTAAAATGGGCATTATTCAACTATCCTTCATACTCTCTTCCAATCTTTTAAAATTCATCACCGGGAGCTTTTAACTGAAGTAATAACTCTGCTGTATTTACATCTGAATGAAGAATAAATGAAATGCATCATGATTATTTTGGTTAACTCAGTGTATTTATAAAATGAAAAGTTCTATCAAAATACTTTTCACTGGAAAAAAATAAATAGAACAGACAATGGATCTACTCAAAGTATACATTCACTTTGGTAGACTTCAGTGTAGGACAGTTCATGACAAGCATATTTGCCCTTATTCCCCCACAGCTGATCAGCTTCCAAGCTAATGGTTAAATAATTTTAACTGACATTTTATCATGTTGATATCTGGCTCATTCCACATCATCTTCCGCCAAGCTCTGAGCACTTACAATTCTCTGAAAGAAAAAGAAAATTAATTTTGAGAAGTGTCTAACTCCAACTTGCTCTTTACATTCAAAGAAACAATTCTTGCTAAAATTCTCTCACTCTGACACTGATTCCACACTTGACATAATAGCGTCTGAGAAGAGAATCTAGGCATGGTGACACCTGAAATCTCAGCATTAGGGATTGAGAGGGAAAAGGGAGGTTTTGGTGCTGGTGTTGGAGGCTATGATCATTCTAGGTCCATACCAAAAATCAAATGAATAAATAAACAAAGCACATGACACAAACGTAGTTTGTAAATTATATAATCTAAAGAGACTTTTCACCCCCCACACAAACCAACAATTCAAGCTCTTACCAAGCCTTCTTTCTATGCTTCATTTCCCTTCCCAGCTCACAGCCACTAAAGAAAGCAATACTGTATTGCAAAATTAACACCCCCCCAAATCTGCATATTATAGAGTAACACAAGCTGTTGAAGAATTAATTAGATGCCAACCAGGCAAATCCATGACATTCTTACAGGCTGCTTTGACCTGGTCTTGCTTTGTTCTCACAGCCCCTGTACTGGAAGCTCAGGCACCCATGTAGTAGTACTGAGAATCTGGTATCTTAAGGTGAGGGGACAGTGGGTGACCAGATCTGCCACTCTTGACCAGATCAGTTCCTGAAGGAGCAGCTAACCACTCACTCCCAGCTCTTCAATGCCCATTCTGCAGAAGGCTGGTTTAGAATACTGTGACACAGCCAGTAGCTCCTAAACAGATACAGCCACAGTCTCAGAATTAGCTTTTAATACAGCAACACAAATTAGACTACGGAAGTTATCCCTTCATAACATTGTTTGGGGTATGGACAGAATGGAGCCATATTCATAACTTTAAGAGTTAGTTCAAGCTTTTGGTTCTAAGTCTTCCTCAAATCTTTTGGGGAATCTAACCCCCTCCCCCCCGCCAGGGCTCTCCTAAGTCTGGGCTTAAAAAAATCAGTATAAAGGAGATAGGAATTGTGACTCAATGGTAAAGCCTTTGCCTAAACAGTAAAACATCACCATGAAAGGAGAAAAAAATGTTGGAAAAACTAGTAAGTTACTAAAAAAATTTTTGAAAACGTCCTTGACATCATTACTTTGCTAATTCTTAACCACATCAAACTGAAAATTAACACATGGAATAGCTGTTCTGAGATTCATTCTGGACTCCTTAGAACAGAATGTACTATAGTGATTGTTTAGATAATATTTATGTTTTGAGATGAAACCTCACTAACAGCCCTGGCTCAGCGCCTCCCACCAGCAGAATGCTGGGATTACAGACATATGCTACCACACTCAGCTATATTAATCATTTAATACATACCCTTTGCACTTCTGAGTACCAAATTCAAATCCCACAGCAGCAGAAAGAGGCAGACAGTACCAAGCCTGACACAGGGACATCAGGAATGGTAGTCTACAGTTTTGATTTCTGTGTCAAACTAAGTTTGCTAAGTTAACTAAACTGAAAGCTTGGTAGGATGTCCTAACAAGCATGCCCAGCAGGTGTAACCAAGTGGCCTGAATTTAGGGACTCAAAATGTAAAGGCCTTAATTCAACACCAAGTGCGTATACTTATGATTCACATCTGACACATGCTTGGACTTAGGCTAGTTACCTGCAGAGTGTAACCCCAGGTCTGGCATATCCAATATTATATGCTCAGCAGAGTTGCCTCTGAGCATGTAGTTCTCTCTGTGTTACTCTGAAGCACTTCAACTCCTTACCTGACTAATGGTTGGAAGCTTGGTCAGAAGCATCTGGAACACTGGTGGTGGAAGAGTCTGCTGCAACACTTGCAGCAGCTGCTGAGGCTGTCCACACACAGCAATTGCATTTGTCAAGTGGTCTACACCCTTCTCATATTCACCTGCAAGATTACACAAAACTACATGTTATCTGAAGACACCAAAATTTAGTCACTAACTGATCCCAGCCATCATCATTGGTACTGACTTTCCTTCACTCATGGAATGAACATAATATATTTTACCAACTGACTGCTGTGGTAAGACTGAGGCACCAGTATCTAGTACTTTCAGAGCCATTTGAGAATGGTCAAAAATAGCTAAATCTCTGCTCTCGTGGCAATTAGGGTTATCTCAACCTATACAAATAGGACACTACCTGACTGTGTTGCCCACTGTCACCTGGGTACGTGTAGCCATCACTCTGATTTGTATGGCCAGTTCTTTTCCTGGGATTCTGAGATGTACTGATACCCACCCAGGAGAACCTGTCTAGGGCAGCCAGGCACGGAGATCGGGTGTTATGTAGAGCTGAAGGCAACTGAATGACTGGCTTATTTACTCGATTCCTACTCCAGAAGACACCAGGCCTCTTCTGAACCCGCATTAGCAATAATCTTTTGTTTAATCAGCAGTGCTAATGTTGTAGCTGGCTAAACCATCAGAGGAACTTATTTATTCCAGGCTGAAGCACCATCTTGTTGCTAAGAACACACAGTACCTGTCCTCTATAGGGCACCTTGGAAAATCTATTCTTCTGTACTTATGACTTTGATTAGTTAGTAATTTAGGAAGTTTGGAAACTAGTTAAGTTTGCTAGTTATTTGATTACAAGAACTAGGCTACCTCTCACTGTTGGTAAAACCAACTGAACAACTCAAAAGACTATTTCTCTCACGAGAGAAACATAATAAAAAGTAAATTGGGGCCAGTGAGGTGGCTCAGCAGATAAAGGTAAATAAAGCAAGCCTTGACACCTTAGTTCATTCAATCCCCAGACTCAAATAAATGTAGAAGTTTCAAAGATTTCTTCTAACCCTGACATCTACACATGAAATTCACATACATATTCCACATACAAAAACTTCTCACAGAAGAGAATATACATTATGCATGAAATTCAACTCTATCTAAATCCAGTATAAAATTTGAAACATGACACCAACTTTATTAATGATAACAACTTTAAAAAAACTTTTTCAATAAAAGCTAATAATCTTTCCGGGGACCATCCTATTGTATGGAAAAATGTTACCCAATTCTAGAAAAAATACTTCTATTTAATAGCTAAGCATGGCAGTCAGCACCTTTAATCCTAACAAATGACAGGCAGAAGTAGGATGGTCTATAAATGGGTTCCAAGACAACAGCTAGGACTGTTACAGAGAAACCCTGTCTCAAAAAAAAAAAAAAAAAAACATAAAAGATATAGAGAGGAAAAATAAAACCAAACAATACTATCTTTCAATAAATGAGGTCCAAAGTAATTAAGCATGTAAATTCTGGACCACATAACTGATCAGATCTGAAATGGGTTGCTAAAAACACCTGGTGTGATGGCTACCTTGGCCATAAACTTGACTATATTTAAAAGTTAACTCAAAACCCAAGCAGCTGGACACTTCTGAGTTGTTTTATTTATTTTTGGTTGGACTATCTAAGGTTGGAAACCCACCTCAAATCCTGGCCACACTTCCTGGTGGAGGCAGCCCAGACATGAAGAAGAAAGCTGTGCTTTTCTGTCTGCTTGCCCTTACTGACTGGAAAATTCATCTATCCCAAATCATTCCCCTTCCATAGTGTTAGAACATACTTCCTGATTCCAATGTGGACCGAAAACTGGAAGTTAGTTCTCTAGGACATCTTTGGGACTGCTGATCTTTGTGAACTGAAAAACTACCAGTCCTTGGCCTTTCTGGGAGGAGAAAGCCATTGTTGGGACTAGTGAGACCACAGCCCATAACCACTCATGTGTATTCTATTAATTCCATTCCTTAGAGAGCCCTGATTAGGCAAATTAACTTTCTTTTGGACTTTAGCAAACACTGGAAAAAAAAAAAAAAAAAAAAAAAAAAAACCCTGTCAATCAGGTGAGTGCTGGAAAACTCAGATCATATCCATGCAGTTACTATTTATACTGCACTATGGGCATAAACATACTCTAAAAGACTTTAGAGTGATTTCTGTAAAAATGAAGTTCTCTTCTAGTTTCATTCAACTATTACCTTATCTTCCACATCCTATGACAGCAAGTAAATCTAAAAGTCACTTAAAACCCAGTGCCAGACAATGGCAATCCATGAGTGCCTTTCTGGAGCCAGACTTTGAAGTGCCAAAAACCCACCTTGAAATGTTTAAAATCCTTTTTCTAACATTAACTATGCAAGAAAACCTTATCATAATTTTACCAATATGAATAATTCTACCTCTTTCTGAATCTTGAAATGATTGATTACCTTGTGCTAATAACTCTTCACCAAGCTGTATCTCTTCAAGGAAGAATTTTTGAACAGCTTCAGCATCTTTTAAGTCAGGTAACTGGAAAAAGAAGTAAGTATGTGTATAAATTAAGCCGAGAATATAATAAACACAGAAAACCAATAAAATTTAAATGATGCTGGGCAGTGGTAACCTTTAATCCTAGCGCTCAGGAGGCAGAGATAGATAGGCAGATCTGGGTCCAAGACCAGACTGCTTCAGAGAGTTTCAGTGCAGCCAGAGCCACAGAAAGCCTGTCTCAAAAAAGCTAGAGGCCAGGCTGTGGTGGAGCATGCCTTTAATCCCAATGCTCAAGAGGCAGAGGCAGGAGGATCTGTGAGTTTATGGACAACCTGGTTTACAAAGTTCCACCAGAGGTATACATAGAGAAACCTGTCTCAAAAAGGGTGAGTGAGAACTTAAAAGTAAATACAAGTATCTGTATTGTCTATTGTCATATTTCATACATTTTCATGTGTACCCAAAGAACTCCCTACGCATCACACGTGTGTACATACATATTCAGAGATGTACATTTTTTTGTTGTTGTTCGGACTTTTGGGACTTGAGGTTGAACCTAGGGTCCCTTACACACTAGAAAAGCACTCTACCGTGGAGCTATATTTCCTTCTATTTTGACAGGATCTTTACCAAGCTGGCCATAAACCTTCAAACCTCTGGCCTCAGAGGGGTCACTGAACTTCAAATGGCAGAATATACTAAAAAACGACAGCATACTCACTGCATTGGTTGATCATCACTTACTTCTAATTTTTATGATAAACAACTATAAGCAACTGACAGGGAAAAGGGTACAGCTCAGGGGGTAGAGTGCTTGCCTAGCACACACAATACCCAGTTCTACCCCTCAAACTTTAGCGTACCTCCGTCACACTCACACACAGGTCTCAAGTTATCTCCCTATCCATATCCCACATCTTGGAAAGGTAGCCTAAACATCAGAAAAACACAGCCATTCCCAGCTTCAATTCTCTAGAACCGTTTGCTATTAACTATGCTGATCACTCAACTGGTTCAAAATAACAAAAGTGTAACATATATCAGTCCCATCTGTGTCCTTGCCTGAATGTGCTTTTTAAAAGAACGATTATTGTTCATGTTCTACAAATCCAGAAAGAATGTCAGCAAGAGGGAAGTGACATGGACAGTGACTAGCATTTACTTAATTTACTTACACATTATAGTTTTAATCAAGCAGATTAAAAAAACACCTATGAAGTCATTAAAAATTATGAACACAGGCCCTATGAAAAGAGAACAATAAAGTCATTTATATTCTACAAGTTACAACTTGTTTTTTTTTTTAATCCATCAGATCAGGTATGATCCTTATCCACAGGTTTAAAATTTTATAGTACACATGGTTCCTTTTGCTACTGAAGACAGTATGCTGCCCAGGATGCCTGCCTGAATTTCTCAAATACTAGGATTACAGGTGTGGATTGTTCAAAGGAGACTAAAGGAAGCAAGGAAAATACAATCAAATGTTGCATGCACTTTGAAGTAGCTGAGAACACTTTTATCTCTTGGTACCCACATCTCTAGAGACCCTTATCTTGAGGCTTATCCAGTGACATGTTACCATTAGCGAAGGAAAATATAGCAGGCCTGGGTAACCTGCAGTCTAAATTACTCTCTTACACACACACAAAAAGACTATTTTATTATTACCTTGGAAAGCCCAGCTCTTTCCTTAGCAAGCTTCTGTTTCTTTCTTCCTACAAGAAAAATTTCATTTGGTCATCAACAAAAGAATTAACACATCTAATTACTTCAGCAACCATTAATTCTACAAGGCATTCCTGACTGCACAACCCCTGCCTGCATTTCTGGACAGCAGCTTTCTGTTTTTCTCTGCATCACCAAGTCCAGTGATTCACAGCAGCTGCACCCCAGCAGAAAAAAAGCCCCTTTTCCAAGGGAAAATAATTAAGGGACTATTACTGAATTACACTAGATTCTAGCTTTACTATTAAAAATTATCCAGCATTTTTAAGCAGCATAGCTTTGTAAAACTTTTTTTTTTTTGAGACAAGTTGTGTGTATGCAGGCTGGCCTGCATCTGTTACATAGCCAAGGCTCCTGACCTCTAGATCTTCCTGCTCCAGCTCCCAAACCCAGGGATTACAGGCATGCAACAAGGTCCCAGTTTGAACATTTGAACAACAACAAAGGGCAAGAGGTCCTGCTCCAAAATGTACTCTGAAAGCTATGGCTGATTAGTTAAAAATGACCTCGATGCTCTGTAATGGCCCCATAAGAAAGAGCATTAGTGTATAGGACCATCTACCCTGTTGGTATCTTATATACACTAGAGTAAGGTACAGTAACCTGGCCCTCATTAAAAACTGATCTAATAATAGTAGCTATAATTTTGGGGCTTTCAGCAGGCTTGTGAGTTAACAGATGTAAACATTTGGCAAGAGTGCCTAGGCTCATATTTTGCCATTTTGGCATCCCCTAGTCAGGACCGGCTCACTCAGTACTATGACCTGGACAATAACAATATGATCCAAGTGAAGGGCTCTATGTACTCAGTAAATATTAAGCAAGAAAATCTAAGTTCAAAAAGTCTCTTAAAATCTTAAAACACTCTATGAATCCAAGTCTAAAAGATCTGTTGTTAATTCTTAAAATGTAAAAACAGCTATTCAAGCATCTTCAGACCTCTTGTCCTCCGACACTGTACAGACACACCATTCAGATGAAACACACCTCAAAAACAAAGCAAAATTGCATAAGTAACTAATGAAAAATACAATGTACCAAAACAGAATTTTGATAAAAATAACAAAAGGCAATGAATTCCACTGGAGTTTTCCATAACCATCTAACTTACTAACACATTGCATGATGGGTGTAGCTTCATTAAGGGACAGATAATACACTGGAGAAAAAAATTAAGGTATACAGTCAATCAGCAAAATCTGATGTTCTTTTGACATTTATAAACAATGTTTAAACAACTATATTCACTTAGTAAAAAGCAAACAAATCATGTAAGCCAGAGCCAGGTCTTGTTGCACTGGCCTTTAATACCAGCACTTGAGACAGAGGATCTCTGAGTTCAACAACAGGCCAAGATTAGAGACCTTGTCTCAAAACAAAACCATGCAAAGCATAAATTCAGAACCACCCCTAACACAAGCCATTATTTAAACCCTCAACTTAAGCCCCTCTTCATTAAATAAATATGTGAGAAACTATCCTTTACTGCAGATATAAATGGAGTCAAATCCAAACTACTTAAATTCCTAAGAATAACTCAACTATATAGCTTTAAAGACACTGTGAAATTACTCATTATTGTCGGCAAAAAATTGCCAAAAACCAAAAATAAAAATTTGTTTTTTTGCCTTTTTGTCACTGCTGCAATTAGTAATTAATGCACTTAAATCATTAGGTAATGGCTAAAGCTGGGGGAGGGGGGAGAAAGAGGGCAGACAGATACCCACACCAACACAAACCTGCTAGAATAGAATGTGATAGGAGAGGCAGTGGTGGAGGATCTAGCCAAGCAAAAGGCCATGAATTCATTGCCAGAAGGGAAAAAGGAAATACTGAAAAGGTTATTTTGAAAAGAACAAAGTTTGCAGCGCATGGTGCCCCAGGCCTTTTAATCCCAGGACTGGAGAGGCAGAGGCAAGTTGATCTGAGTCCTGAGGCCAGTCATGTCTATCTACAGAGTCCCTGTTTCAAATAAAAACAACCAACAAACAACCCTAATTTCCCTAAAATGATAACTTATGGTTTCTCCAACCAAAAATCATTTCCTCGGGATTTCCAACAAGGCTTTCCAAAGGAATTCACCCTCTTAGCTATGTGTGTAGACACAGCCCCCATGCATCTTTGAGTATATTGTATTTGTGTACTCTATCCAACAGTCACACTTCAAAGCTAGCACTCATGGAGGGAGTCTTCTCTGTATCTCACATAAATTGTCACCACCCAAGTGGCAACTTGTACTACCTTACTTTAAAGATTCGGAGTTGATGCTGGTGGTCAGTAAACAATCTGGTCCCCGAAACAGTCTGAATCTAAGCAGCATTCTTTCCACTACTCTACCTAGCCATGGACAAAAACAAACTATCTCCCCAAATGATGAACTACTGGGGGCACGCAGGCTCAAAAAGGCTGGAATTCCTGTAACAGGCAGTAAAGGACAGGCAATGTCTCTGATCACCTCTAACTACGAAAAAACTGAAAATGATTTACCTAAAGAAGTGCGAGAGCCTGGATAGTGACTCGAGCTGCTGGCTGACCATCCTAAACAAGGCGCAAAAACGCTCATTACTGCAACAAACGTTCTTTTGGACTGTTGAAAACAGTGCCTTGAAATTCAAGGGTGGATCATGCTGGTTAAGAGTGCCGAGATTTCCCTCCGGAAAACCTCTTCAAATATGTCGCAGGTATGAAATAAGACTGAACCACGTGAGGAGCGCAGCCCTTTGGACTCCCCCGCACTTTCTCTAGCATTCACTCATATCTTGGAAGCACCAGAGCAAAGCCGCCAAGAGGGTTTAAGAATGCAAGGGTGACACCGCACTGAGTCTGCGGGTTGAGGCTCTAGCTAAAACGCTTCAACATAAGAGAACACTTTCCGGGTAAGGACTGGTTTAGCTATGTGCAGGCGCCGGTCTGCAGAGGCACCAGGAGTTCGAAGCCACTCTATAAAATACAGCAAGCTCCGGTCAGAAAAGCACTAAGACATTTTTTTTTCCCCGCAACCATGAAGTTGGAAGAATGGTTCATGCCTGTTACCACAGCACTCGAGAAGCTTATGGAGGGGGAGGGGCCGCCACGAGGTCGAGGCTAGCCTATCAAGCCAGCCTGAAGTAAACACACACCCCACAGCCACCATAGTTTAATGGGGTGACTGGAGGCTGGACGGTGACTCATCCTATTACCTGGAAAGCTAAGGCTGGACGACTGCCATGACTTCAAGCCCATCCAGAATTAAAGACCCGTCACAAAAACGAAAAAAATATATATATATACACATATATATGTAGAGAGAGACAGGTGGCAGGTATAAAGTGCTACCCATCCCGGGACCAAGCGTGCTTTCCGCCACCAGCAAAGTGGAGCCAAGTCGCCTCCAAGATGGAGGCCCGCGGGCACAGGCGACACCCTGGCCGCAGCGCGCGACGCCAGGGAGGCCTCTTGGGGGCGCGAAGCCAGAGGGGACCAGGAGGCGCGAGGGCCCACTCACGTTCTCGAAGCCTGTTCTTGAAGTTGGGGTCACTCCGCCTTTTGCGGTCAAAGTAGATGCAGTACCCGATGAAAAGGGCACCGCACACGCCCGCGGCGATGGCACTGTTCCGGCCCACCATCTTCGCTCGGCTGTGGCGTGTGCCGGGCCTCGGAGGCCCGCCAAGCAGCGGTTAGCTCCGACAGACCGGAGCACGCCGACCGCTCGCAGGCCCAGTCCAGACGGAAAAGGCCGAACACCAGCACTTCCGGTGCGCGAGGACCCCGGAACGTCCGCGGCGGTGCCTGCGCGGGAACGCCTACTGCGCACGCGCAGACGGCCCAGCTCTGCGCAGCGGAGGCGCCATGCTAGGGGAGGGGCGTGCACTGCGGAGTGTCATCACGCGCTAATCCACACGGTCTGTGGCGTGGTGGAGGCACGTGGTTGTGGTACAGTGTCAGAAGCCCTTGTCCGCCATCCTTGCTTGTCAGAGACAAAGGTGAGAGCCTGCTGTAGCAGCGCCTCAATTCACAGTCTCCTTCAGGAATCCTGTAACTTGAAGTGCATGCGTTTGCTTTTTTTTTCGTTTTTAAGATAGACTCTCCCTTTGTGTCTTAGGCCTGGAACTTGCTGTGTACTCTGCCCTGGCCTCAAACCTGCAATCCTCCTGAGTAATGGTATTACAGGCCTGCACCCAGGTCTGGCTGCATTTGCTTTTTAATTTGAGTTGTGACTGAACTTGAACACAGTAATTGATTTCAGAATGATTTTATGATGTAGCCCCATCTTAGGTTGTGAGGAAGAAAAATGGAGTAAATGTTTAAAAAATGAAAATTAACTTGTGAGAGAAGTAGAAAGGCAATAAAACCCTGAGGATGGTTTCTATCTGTGCCCTTAGGCTGCCATTAAACTGTAATCTTAAGTGTAGTCATTTTCTGGTGTTTTAAGTGAAACTAGTAAGGGGGAAAGCCCCAAACACTTAGGCCACCTGTCTGTACTAAAGGGAAACACCTCTTCCTGGGGAGCTGGAGCAGAGCTAAGCATTATTGAATACTACAGAACACTGTTAAGTGCTATTAGAATGGATGTTTTCTATGAAGTGAAGCAACCATATGCTTTAAACACACCCCCTGTTACCTGTGGAACACATGAGCTGCTTGTTGCAGACCTACTCCAGCTCCAGAAGGCACTGTGTTAGAATGCTTGTATTGCTCTTTTTGCCATTAAAAGCAATAGCAGACTCTGGATGACTGTGCACCAAGGCTAGGGTGAGAAGCACTTCCCTTAGTGTTCCAGAACTAATGTAAAACACAAGGCTTCTTTTGCATGAAGTGTTGTTATGATTGATTGGTGCAAACTCTTCACCCCTTTTCTCCCCCACAATCAGGTTGTCCAGTTCAGTTTTTTGAAAAGGTGTGTTATGTGCAGAGAAACCACAACAGGAGATCAGTGGACCTGTCACTATTGCTTAGAGGCAGGACCAGCAGCCCCCTGAAGCTGGGGCTGGTGTTTTCTCTAACAGGTCATCAAGCTCCAGCAGTCTCCACTTGCTTGGCAGCTGCAGTTATAGGTGTGCACCAGATACCCTGGTCAGTTCAATTTTTGAGTCAGCCAGGAGATGCTATCTTGTATTGGTGCCTAGCATTGCAACATTAGACTCAATAAAAAGGCTCCTCCCAACTGATTTTTTTAGCTTGCAACTACAGGGGTGGCAATGGATTAACAGCAGCGGCAACAATGGCCACACCACCCTTCTGTGGCAGTAGCAGCAAGCAAAAGTAGGCCAGCTGAGAGCAGAAGCTGAAAGGAAGACAGAAAATTGTGGAGATAAAGACGAGAAACTGCCACCTCTGATCACCGCAAGAATTTCAGGAAACAGCCACACCTGACAGACAAGGATACTGACGCCCAAGACCCCAGAGCTGTAACACTGGCCACCCAGGATGAAGGTTTCAAGATCTGAGGCTCTCCCAGGGGTGATACTATAACCAAATGCTGCCATTGCCTGTTCTTGGAGTCAAGGATTTCATTAGCTGACCAGTGCCGGGCTGCTGGCAATCAGACCCAGAGCTATGTGATTTGTAAGGACTGAACCCTCATCTCTAGTTTTTCAAGACTTGTAACTTCAAGCCTGTGGATCTGGGAGCCCCAGCTAATAAGCTTTCAACACTCAAGGGCCTAGGACTAATAACTGTACAAAAATTTTTCCTTGCCGACTTGATTTCCATCTGAGCAAAAGAATGCCAGGCAGTTCATAAGTAATATTGAGGCCCACCCACCACACACTCACTAGCAATTGAAGGAAGGCAGTCTGGTAGTACACTGCACCCTGCACTTATGGAACCTGGTCTGAGTAGTTGGTATCCAAACTTACACAGATAATACATGTCACCGGAGGACCTAACCTAGCCTGGAAAAGCCCTGCTTTAAGGATGAGCATGAGATCTCTATCAAAACAGGAATTATCCCTGAAGGCAAGTGCGTACTATCTGAAATGAGCTTGGGGAAAGAAAAGGGGTAAGAACATAGAAGTGCAGATAGAACAGAACCAAGAGGAAGCCCAATACAACAGAACAGCTCAGAAAGCTGCATTATTCTACCCTGCACACATTGTGATCCTCCTCATCCCCAAACACCACCTATGAACCTTAACTTCCTACGCCTTAGGTACACAGGACAGAAAATAGTTACCCAAAGCCACAGAGTTGGCATGAGAGGTCTTGAAAGTCTGACAATGGGTAGTCTTGATAGCCTTGACTTAGGAATAAGCCAGAATAGGATACTCTTTTACCATGTATAATATATGCAATGTGATAGCAATATGTTAACACAAAATGAAGTACAACCACAAACCCCTGCAGTGGAAGCAGCCTGGAAAAAAGTAAGCAAAGCTTCCCTACACCTCTGGTCATAAGAATTTCTTAACCACATGTAAGCCCACAACTAATTCTCACAACTAAAAAACACATACCCAGTATTTTTATTATAACTAAAAGCCAATTTCTAACCACTGTTGACCACTCATACAGAGTCTTGTGGCTGTAAGTATTTAATCAGATATAACAAGTATTTTTCCAGATTAAAAAAAAATTATACAGAGCATCTTAGGAAAATTTTCTACAAAATATTTTTTTTCATGTTTTAAACAGTAAATAGCACACACATATTTTGCTTATGAAAGTAGAAATTCCAACAGTTACACAGTGACAAATAACAAAACATCTGGGCCAATGAGATGGCTCAGTGAGTACAACTGCATTCTGTGAGAGAATTCCAGAGGTCTCTGACCTCCACATGCAGATTTTGGTACATATGCACCTGCATCCACATTATGCACACAAAATAACAGTGTGTTACACACACACACTATATCTCTCTCTCAGGGGTCATAGTATGCACCCAGACTATATATGAACAGTCTAATGTTGCATCTTTATTATAATTTAGCCAAAAAATGCTCAAGAATGGTCAAGTGACATTTCTGAGATTTAACTGAAAAGGTTCTAAATACTATAAGAGAAACAAAGCATAAAATATCCTGACTGTGATACAGGACATGAGGCTTTCTCTTCTAAAAGCTACACTTTTAATTGTATGTATATGTCTGTTTGTAATTACATACTTGAGTACAGGTACCTGAGGCCAGTGGAGTTGGATGCAGCAGGAGCTTAAGTTACAGGTTGTGCTAGGAATTGAACTCAGGTTCTGTGGAAGAGTAGTATATGCTCTTAACCAAGAGACCATCTCTCTAGCTTCTAAGGCTACCTTTTAAACACCCCATTAGATTTTTCTACATGGGATTTCCCAAAGACAGAATTTTCAAAACTACTTAAGTAAGTGAAGCTGGGTGTTGGTGGTGCACACTTTCAATTCCAGCACTTGGGAGGCAGAGGCAGGCAGATCTCTGTGAGTTCAAGGCCAGCCTGGTCTACAGAACTAGTTCCAGGACAGGCTCCAAAGCAAAACAGAAACCCTGTCTCAAAAAGCCAAAATAAATAAATAAAAAATGAGTGAACACTCATGCTGCCCTTTTGCCTTCTTAAGTGACAGGATGTGTGTTTACTACAGATTGCCTGCCTAAATCAGCCACCTTGGCTTATCCGTCCCCCCCAATCCTTCATCCTGGATGGACCCAGCTTGGGCTTGGTGAGATCAGTGTCATTAGCTGGAACCAGGCCAAGCCCTTGTCCTGTCATTCATCATTAAAGTTTGTGATTTAATTACCATGATTCACTATGAAATGTTGTCTTTAAACTTTGTTGGACAGCTGTTTTATTCTGAGTGACACTAATTTAAAGATAATGTTTTCCTGAGAGAGAATCTTTCCTATAAACCAGCTTTAAAGCAACCTGTTAAGGACATTAATGAAGTCAGTCACACTTCTCCTGGTGTTCTTATTTGTTAGCAATTATTTGATGGATGGAGTAAGACAGAAATATAGATTTCTACTACAAGTTTGAGAGACAGAAAACTGAGTGGTGAAGAATGGGTGTTTATTATAAACAGCTGACAAGTCTTTCTTGGGGATCGTGACTACATTTGGGATCAGTATTCCCACAGTAACCATGTGAACACCTGGTCTAAGCACAACCAGTATTAATGTTTATTAGTTTTCTGTAAATCCATTTCTAAGAACAATGCTTCAAAGAAGCTTTACATATAATATGAACACACACAAAAAAAATACAAACAAACAGAAACGCAAATCACTGTGGAAGTCTCCACATTTTTCACACAATCCATACAAAATCCAGACATTTGTTGCAAGTATTCACCACAGAAAGGAAGGAGGTGGCTTCAGTCATTTCTGTTGTTTTTTTGGCTTCTTTGTTCTTACTTTTTTCTTTTGTCCTTTCTTCTTTTTCATGAGAATTGCCTTTTCGCCAATAAATGTATTTTTGGAATGTATTGAATCTTTGGAAGTAAAATTAAGCTTTTGCTTAGGTTTACTGGCATTCTTCAAGCTTGGATTTGAATTATGTTGTTTTAGTTTTTCTTTGTTAATAGAACGCATGACTCTCAGTTTTCTTCCCATTAGCTCAGAATTATTTAACTTCAAGGCAAGATGAACAGCATCTGTATTCTGTAATAATAATAATAGAAACATTAATTTCTACCAGAAACTCGTATGTAATGAGACCAGCAAAGTCAGAATTCAATGGTATATGTCAATCTTCAAGCTTGCATACAGAAGACCTCTCTGTCCTAGAGGTCAAATCCTAAGGATTTTAGCAGCCCTCCTTAAACACCCTATTGCTCATACTCAAGGTTATCTGGTAGCACTTAAAACTATCCCAGCAAATGCTCAGTTTCTTTAAAACAAAAAACAGCTCATGAGCCAACCTTCTGTAAAATTTCTATTGTAAATGGAAGGCAAGATACTCTCCTACAGTCCCTAAGATGTGGGACTAAAGATCCTAGAAGGTTCTATACCCCAAACTCCTATTCCAACACAGAATAATTAATATTATTTTGAATGTTGAGATGTTGAAAGAACTCTACAAGCTTCTTAAAGAGGTGAGTTACATCCAGACAGAGGAACAAATCAGTGCAACAGAGCAACAGAGACCTCAAGCACAGAGACTCTTCTAAAACCTCCCAGGCCATACCTATCAAGTCAAAGAGCCTATGCGCCGAACAGCTGTCTCACTCAGTAGTTAAGAGTACATATTGCTCTTAAGGAAAATTGGAGTTCACCCCAGCACCCATGCCAGGTGGCTCACAACCACCTGGAACTCCAGCTAGAGGGAAATCCCACATTTCTGGCAAGTGTAGTACCTACACTCACATACACAATATCCTGCTTCAGTATATTAAGAAACACTGATTAATACACTGAACTCAATATAAGTAACCTTGTATAGAGACTAAATTTCCTTCTAATGGTCAAATGTTTGCTCCATCTTATAGAAGGCAAAATTTAGAGGTTTTAGTTCCTCTGACACCCAACATCTAGGTTGTTACTTAGTACTGTTAGCATGTACAAACAAGGAACTACAATATGTTTTGTTTGGGACAGATGTAGCTACAACTCTATTGTGGTGGTGATGAATTTAGCTTCCCAAGTCAGAACCTGGGAATTCGAATAATAGCACTCTCTGAAAGGTGACAGCACTCACAACCACCGGACAGGCATTTCAAGAGCATCAGAGCAATTGTCCCCCATACCTCAAAGAGCACATAGCCAAACCCTCTGCCGACTCCTGTTTGTGGATTTCTCAAGATCCTCACTGCCACAATGTTTCCACAGTCCAGAAAGTGTTCCTCCAAAGCAGCCTCTTCAACTTCTACAAACAAATTCAAGCAAGTGAGGTGACTATGTGGACTCTTCTTAGAAAGCTGGAAAGGTCTGATAATGTTTTGAGGTAAGCAAAGCCCCATGCTTTTTTTTTTTTTTTTTTTTTTTTGATTGTTCAAGGCAGGGTTTCTCTGTGGCCTTGGAGCCAGCCCGTTTACTGTCTATAGCATGCCTCTTAAAGCTGCTCATAAGGTGCCGGGCAGTGGTGGTGCTTGCCTTTAATCCCAGCACTCATGAGGCAGAGGCAGGCGGATCTGAGAGTTTGAGGCCAGCCTGGTCTACAGAGTTCCAGGACAGCCAGATCTGTTATACAACCAAACTGTCTCGATAAAAAAAAACCAAAACAAAAAAGCTGGTCATAAGCAAATATTAAATTACTCAAGTTTTGTTTGTGTGGGTTTTGGTAGTAAGGGGATTGAACTCATCGCCTCACAAATGCCAGGGAGGTACTCTGCCACTGAGCAACAACTCCGGTTCTTTCTAAATTTTCCTCTGAGGCAGCTACTAAATTGCCCTTCACTATTCAATCATCTGCCTAGGCCTAAATAGCTGGGAATAAAGGTATGTACTAGGCCATGACACCAGAATTACTTAAGTTTCTTTTGTTGTTACTGTACTCATATGTGGTAGGTCAACCCCCTGGCCAATGAACTAAGTTCTGCTCCTTCTTTGTCATGTAATAACAACAGCTATACTTTTATTTGTTTAAATAGACTTACTGTAAGGGAGATTGCCCACAAATACAGATCTCTTGTCTCTCTGGAAAAAACCAAAACAAAACAAAGATGAATAAACCAGTGTTAGAAAACAGAAAATTACCCTGCACCCCACCCACTGCATATATCCCTCCACTGGCTGTGTCCTGCACTTCCTGCACTTCCTGGCTTGATCATATACCTGCCTATGTCTGCTTTGCTCTTCCTTCTGCATAGTAAGTTAGTGCTAGCATTGGAGGAGTGACTTCATTCACAGCAGCACTCACAGGGAAGCACAGGGACGATGTGATATTCTAAAGTTTTACCTGTGAGAGGCCAATCAGCAAACACGTTAGGCTCTAAAGCAGTGTGGTTCTCAACCTGTGAGTTGTGACCCCTTAAGTAATCAGATGACCCTTTCTTTCACAGGGGTCACCTAAGACCATCAGAAAACACGATATTTATACTACAATTCATAACAGTAGCAAAATTACAGTTATGAAGTAGCAATGAAATAATTTTATGGTTGGGGGTTACCGCAACATGAAGAATTGTATTAAAGGGCTAGCCAAAGCATTAGGAAGATTGAAAAACACTTAAAGAATCTAAGGGTAACAGGATCTCCACTGCAACTTCTCATCTTGCTATAATAGCTTAAATGCTTAAGTCACAAAAACAAACTTGTGGTTGTGTGCAGTTGATTTTATTAACAGATATGGTCAATGCACCAGAGCTTGTTGACCCTCCATGGTATCTATCTCCAGTCCAGCTAGAGGTTTTGCTCTGACAGTTCTCTTTTAACAGAGTAACCCTGACACTAAGAGATGCACACTGTTAGAGCTAACTCTACAATCCTTCAATGTCTGAAAACACAGCTGTCATATGCAATCTGGTCACATTGCTATAGTACTGAAACTTAGAATTTGCTCTTGGACAAGAACCAGACTTTGCATGAAGTGAGGCAAAGAAGGGTTTCATGGTTTGCCTGTTAACCTATCTACCCAATAACACTCTCATTCCCATACACCCATTAACCACACAAAGCTCTTGCCATTCCCTGGCCAAGTTAGGGTTTCATCCCCAGCACCTCCATTTCACAGACCTTGCCATTGCGCTTAGAAAAAACGATGCTCCCAGGTCAATCCTTTAAGACTCATATGACATCTATTCTCCTGCACACGGTCCTTGTCTTTTCTTATTGGCCTGTTCCCAGGTACACCATTCTGAGTGGACAAAACACGCTGTGCTTATGACAGCATTTACCATAAGACAGAGCCACAGCCTTGTAGGTGGCTGTACTCCATCTTGGCACAAGGACAGAGTTCAAAGCTGTCAGCAAGTCACAAGACCTAAAGGTCAAAGGTGTGGCTACAGAAGGATGTCTTAGTTTAAATAATAACAGACCTTGATCTGAGGTGTGGCTACATACTTGACCTCAAAGCTAGGGAACAAGAAATTTAGAGCTAATGTGTGGTTAATCCTTAGAATGAGTAAAGAAGTCTATTCCATACACATGATACTGTGTTCCCCTTTTTGGTTATGGTATATATGAGTGGCGAAAAATAAACTCGTGGCATTTCAGTATTGACTGATCTGCCCTCCTGACATTTATTCTGCCTCTCTCTCTTTATTATCTATAGTTTCCCTCATCCACTCTCCCCCACTCAGGTATGGACTTGGGGCCGCTCGGCATCCCCACAAAGACCACTCCCAACACAGCCTGTCCCCATGTGTCTCCAGCACACATCAAGTACACAGAGTCTTCAAACTGCTCCTTACCTCTAACAAATAACAATTTGCTTTTGGTTTCTGAGACAGGGCCTTACTGTACAGCCCAGTGTGGTCCAACAACATGTGATTCTCTTGCCTCTGCAAACCCAGACTGCCACAGGCATAAGCCAACAGCCTAACATGGACAACAACTTTCCTGACTGTATAGCCTGTTAAAATAGTGCTGGATCCCATGACCTCTTACTTTCTCTAAACACCTTGTCATGGGAGAGTGTCTTCAAATGGAAAGTGACCTGTTTGTGAAGGTATTGTTCACCTGAGTCTAGTGACTCTCTGGGCAGAAATCCTGTGTCCCTAAAGAACAAAGGTTTCTTTCTCCCATTTCCCTCCTGCTTACAACACTGGTTCCACCTTTCCACAAGGCACATGATAAGCTCTGCTTGTTGTCTTGTTTTCTTTTTTATTTCTTTGAAACACTGTCACCCAGGTGGGCCTGTAATTACTGTTGCTGCTTCTGTGTCACCCTCCTAATGCAGGGAGTACAGGTATGAGCTACCATATCTAGCTACCTAGTTAAGATTCTTAAACAAATCACATTCTACTTACAGAGGTGGTTTCAGATGCAAGATCAACTCGAATACGAAATCCTTCTTCAATCTGGGCCCCATTTCTAATCATAAAGACAAGAGGGGAATGGCTGTTGAAAATGAGCACTTACTTACGGAAATATTTGCTGTAATGAAACCAAATAGTAACCCATCTCTAGAGGACAAAGGACAACAGCGCGTTCAACCCCAGGCAGGGTTACCTTTGCAGTGCTCTTGTAGCAGCACTCTCATCCTTAAACACTACGTATGCATTGATGCTTTTCTGGTCGGGATGGAATTTACGTCTACAGAGAAAACAGAAGGGATAAAGATCACGTAAAACTTGCTAACATTAAACTCAAGAGAAAAATCTAGTTTTGTATCTGCAATCAATACATGATAAGAAACCGGGTGTTCATGGCACAGGCCTTTAATCCCAGCACTCAGGAGGCAGAAGCAGGTGGATCTGTGTGAGTTCAAGGCCAGCCTGGTCTACAGATCAAGTTCCAGGATAGGCTTCAAAGCTACACAGAGAAATCCTGTCTCAAAAAACAAAAACAACAACAAGAAAAACCTGATAAGACTTGAAGAGTGGAAGTTCCATATTTTCAAGTAGAAATCCATTAATTTGAAAAAGAGCAGATATATAAAGATAGCAAAAAGAACAAGAAGCCCACATTTTCTTGGGAGTCATCACTGTGAAGGAATGTTAAGAATAAGACACCCACATGTGTCAACTAGAACAAAAGAAGGATTAGAAATGTCATCCTGGCTCCAACTCTATAACTAGCAAAACTGTTCTTTTTCACTGCAAGATACACACCTAGAAAGTGAACATCCAAAACAGCTCTGCACATAGGAGCCAAAGCCTTGGCAGCCACTACCAACCCCCAGGAGCCCATCCATCGTTCTGATGGTCATCCCCATCTCTACTTCCATATGGACTGCTTCCCTTTTCCAATACAGCCCTCTAGCCCTATCTACTCCTATACATTACACTTTTACTTGTCCATTGTCCTTCAGTCTGTCTCTTGTTTGACCTGCATTATCTGCAACAGCCTGAATTTGGTGGCTGCAAGAAAGCAGTATGCCATGCACTTTTGTCTTCTGTACCTTGTATACTTGCTACATGGGTCCATTGTCAGGACCACCGTAAGTGTTATATTCTTTCTCAGAAAGGCATGTTATAGCTGCTCTTCATTTATATGTGAGTGTGCTTACACATATATATGTGCATGTATGTGTGGAGGCCAAAGTCAACCTCATCTGTCATCCCTCAAGTACTGTCTACCTTTTTTGTGTATATTTTAAAGTATTTGTTTATTTAGTTGTAGGTAAGGGGGACACCCACACTCATGTGCAAGCAGGGGACAGACAACTCACAGAAATTAACCCTTTCCTTCCAATATGTGGGTTCCAGGAATTGAACCAAGGTCACTGAGCTTGGAAGCAGGCACTTTTCCTTGCTGAGCCATTTCTGGCACTACCTAAATTTTTGAGAGAGGGTTTCTCATTGGCCTAGGTCTCACCACACAGGCTAGAGTGCCTGGCCACTGGGTACCAAGGATCTACCTGTCTCACCTCTCCAGCACAGAGATTACAAGTGTGCCAACCACTATGCCCAGGTTTTGTCTTGTTTACAAGCCATCTAGGAATCAAGCTTAGGTCCTCATGCCTGCAAAGCAACCAATTAACTGACTGAGCCATTTCCCTAAGCTAGCTTTTTACTGTTAAGAATTATGGCTGGTGCTGCTGCCTAAGGCCTATACTTACAAAAGGGTAATAATAATATGGAGGTGATTCAGTAGAAATAGTAATTAATATTAATGGTAAGATAGACTGGGGCTGAACAGATAGATGGCTCAATGGTTAAGAGCACTTGTTGCTCTTGATGGAAACCCACAAGGCAGCTCAAAACACAAGCATCTGTAACTCCCATTCCAGGGATGTGACATCCTTTTCTGGCCTCCTTGGACACTAAACACACACATATATACACAGGTAAACCACAATTGCATAAAAAATAAAAGTAATAAAAGTATATAAATCTTAGACAAAACAGTAAAATAGATGTAGTAATGTTCACTGGTCCTTGCCTAGAGAAGTCAACCTGGTGCTGAAGTAATTAAAGGGCCCACACACAAATGAGCACTCAGCAGTGCCAGGCATACACATGAACATGCTGCATCCCAGAATACCATCCTAAGTATTTTCTTTTGTTGTTGAAAAAAATAAATTATTTTTCAAGCTGGGTGTGGTAGCATACACCTTTAATCTGAGCACTGGGGAGGCTGAAAAGGGGTATCTGTGAGTTCAAGGCCAGCCTGGTTTACAGAGCAATTACCAGGACAGCCTCCAAAGCTACAGAGAAACCCTGTCTCAAAAAAACCAACAAATAAATAAATGATTAAAAAAAAAAAAAAAAAAAGCCCAGCAAATAAATAAATGATAAAAACAAAGCCCAAACAAACAAAAAATCATTTTTCATACAATGTAATCTGATCAGTTTTCCCTCCCTTATCTTTTCCCAGATCCTCTTCACCCATCCAACTCCATGCCTTTTCTCACTTTAAAAAACAGACAAAATAAAAAAAATAAAAACAGAAAAAAAGAAAATGTGAGAAATGTGCAGAAAGTATAATATATAAGTAAAAGACCAGGAAAGTAAAAAAAAAAAAAAAAACACCCAAACAAAACACTGAGTTAAAAAAAAAGACAAAAAACCCCACAAAATCCACTTTGAAAAATACCACTGAGTTTGTTTTGTATTAAGCATCTACTACTGCTGTGCATAGGATCTCACTTCGATGTGGTATACCTAGTGAGACTCCATTGGAAAAAAAAAAGACCAGGCTGGGAAAACCCACAGAAACAGCTGACCTGAACAAGAGGGAGCTCATGGACCCCGGTCTGATAGCTGTGAAACCATCATAGGACCAATCCAAATCCCCTGAACATGGGTGTTAGTTAGAACTGATGAGTCTATGGGGCCTCTGGTAGTGGATCAGTATTTATTCCTAGTATACAAATGGACTTTGGGAGCCCATCCCACAAAGAAGGATACTCTCTCAGCTTAGACACACAGGGGAGGGCCTAGGCCCTGCTCCATATGATATGACAGACTTTGAATATTTCCCTATGGAAGGCCTCACCCTCCCTGGAGAGCAGAAAGGGGATAGAATGGGAGTGGGGGGGGGCAGGGGAGGAGGGGAGGGTGAGGGAAGTGGGATTGACAGGTAAACCAAGCCTGTCTCAAATTGAAATAAACAAATATTATATATATTAAAAAAAAAGGACAAAGCTTTTGCATGCAGAATATATAACTCTCCCCCACCCCATCTGCCTGTTTCTCCCTCAAAAACAGAAAAGGACAGTAGTAAACAGGTGAAGGTTTTACAATACTTGACCAAACATGTAAATACCCAGAAAGCACATGAAAAGATACTTGCTATCTTAACCTATGTGAAAAATACAAAAGCACAGCCAGTAACCTTTAGAAAGGCTAACAATGAGTGACTGGCAGCACCCAGTATTGGGGAGGACAGGCACATCTGGTGTTCTTACCTCCCACTGGTAGAATATAAAGCCATGCAACAGTGATGGGGTGGTGGGTGACTATTTTTTAAGAAGCTAAAACACACTGACTATACAAGGTGCTGTCATTCTACCTCAGGGACTTTGTCAGAAGTAACTGCATACAAATGGTTTTAGCCCTTTAGCATGAAAGGTAAAAACTGAAATCATCTAAATGTTGAAGGCTAGTGAATAACCAAACTCAATGCTAATTTCCCACACAAAGAAACACTACTGACAAAGAACAGAACACTGGTCCACACAGCACAGATCTCAAATCCATGCTGAGGAAAGTCAGACTAGAAAATAGAGTGGGCTGGTGTGCTCAGAGGTAGTGTGTATGCTTAGCATAAACAAGGCCCCACATCCCATCCCCAGAATCAAGAAAGCAAAGCATCCATGAAGTAAGGGGAGTCTGCTTACATAACACACTAGTACACTCTGAGACAGACAAAGTAGGTAAGCAACTGGCTGCCTAGGGACAGAGGTGGAGCGACACTGCAAGGACACAGAAGGAGACTGGGCTAAGGAGGCATTCAGGATGAAGACTGTGGCAATGTTTTCACCAGAGCCCAAACGTCAACAGTCCTAAAGGTACTTAGATATTGAGATGTTTCCCTATACACTCAGCACTTAGGAAAGAAAGGCAGAAGAATAAGGAGTTCCATGCCTACTGAGCTACACAGCAAGATACTACCTCAAAAATGTAAGGATTGGCTGGGCATGGTAGTACATGCCTTTAATCTCAGCACTTAGGAGGCACAGACAAGCAGATCTGCATAATAAGACCAAACCAAACAAAGCATGGCTTGTGTAGTTCACTGGCAGAATAGTCACCTAGCATGTACAAAGTCCCGAGTTCAACCCCCAGAATAGCAAAAAAGAGCCCTAAAGTTATACATCTCAAATGTTCAATTTTACTGAAGGTATATTACACTTTTAACCAAAGAAGAAACAAAAGCAAAAACAAACCTAAGCATAAAGTTTCCCATAAGATTCCTCACATGGCCCCCCACACCAAAGTAAATGAAACAAAACATTTGTGACTTCTATCACAAATAGCTGGCCCTATCAAGCAATTAAAAAAAAAAAAAAGTAACTCAAAAGTCAAAAAAGAGCAAAACCCAGCAACCAATAAGATTAAAAGACAAAGGAATGCTCCCTGCATACAGGTGGATGCTCATTCACCTTAACCACAAAGACCACTTTCACGTTCTAAGCTGCCCTTGACCAAAAAGTCAAAACCACAATTTTTATAAAATTAACATCTACTCTTTATAAAATGTATGACTATAAACAGTGACTAACTCTGTGGGATAGCAGTCAAAATTTTAAATGCAAAGTTGCCTTACAAGTTCATCCTACAGAAAAATCAGAACATGCACAAAATTACCCAGATATAAGAACATTCATTCCAGTTATTTATGACCACAAGATTGTAAACTTACATAAATCAGGGTAGACCTCATAGAACATTAGGATGCTTTGAAAAAGGAAAATAATCTAATTATAAACTTACTTTATTGCAGCCAACTTTTTGGTTAGTGTTCCCTCTGCTGGCATCTTTTAAAAAGAAAAGAAAAAAAAAAACCCATCAAAAATCTGAATTTGGGGTATTTTTTCAAGTTGGTTAGCATTTTTAATCTTCCCCTTTTTTCTGCGCTGGAGACTAATTTCAGGGCTTCACGTATGTCATCACGTGGTCTCCCCTCTGCTACATCCCAGCCATGTAAGTTACATTTTAGCTAAAGCCAAAATATTCCAGCCACATGTAACTCAAAACACTTTAGGGAAATAGAATCAGAAATAACTATCCTAATGCTTATGAGTCAGGAGTTGTGGCACATATTTACAAACCTATAATCCCAGCACTCCAGACAAGATGAGAAATGTAAAATTACCCTCAGCTACAATAAGTTTGAGGTCAATGCTACAGGAAGTCCTACCTCAAAGTAGAAGGAGGGGCGGGGAGGGGGGACAGGAAGAGGACACCATGAGGATTAAGATAAAGGAACTCCACAGACAACATCACACTCTGTAGCCACTCTCAAACAACACAGGCATAAGTACAAGTACAGGCAATGGGTGCTCAAACTACAAGGTAACTCCAAGACAATGAAGAGTCAGGAAACACACAAAACAGTTTTATAAAGGAAATGTGTGTGTGGGGGGGAGCAACATTTATAAACTAAACCATACTTTTCATTCCATGTAATTTAAAACTTCTAAATTGGTTATGTGATTTTCTTTGCACCTAAGAGATTATATCCAGTGGGCCCCAAAATTCATGGAGTCTTTATTTGTTTTAGACAGGGTCTTTGTAGCCCAGGTTAGCCATGGACTCAGTGTTGTCGTTGAAGATGAGCTTGATCTTAGTTCTGTGGAACCAAGGGCACAGTACACCAGCAGCACAGTGACAAAGAAGCAGCTACAGGAGGGGTCACACAGGCTAACAAGTAGCTTCAGTTCAGGACAGTAAGTGCTGGACTGAAAAGATAGGCTGAGGAGCTCACAGAGCCCCTACACATGCCGTAGCCCAGGGGTGCTGTATAAAGAAAAGGAGATTGGAGGGAGAAAGCACAGCAGTCATCTGTCCTAACAAGAGGAAATAAAACGGCTGCAGAGATGGCTCAGCAGCAAAGAACACTCAGTACTTTTCTAGAGGACCCAGGCTGGTCTCCCAAAACCAACACGAGCTCACAACTGCCTACAACTCCAGTCAGTTCAAGGAGCTCTGGTGCCCTCTTCTGGCATCTAACAGCACTGCATGCATATGACACAGTCATTATTGAAGGCAAAACACCCACTCATACACATAAAAATAAATCTTAAAAAGAGATTCTTAATAAAAATAAACATTTTAAAAAGAAGCCAAGAATAGACATAGGCCAAGAAGAAAAGAAAGGAATAACTCAATTAGGGAAAACCCCATGTGCTGTGGGACAATCCTTTCTACACTATGAATATGTATTACTCTCATTGGCTAATAAAATCTGATTGGCTAATAGCCACCCAAAACCATATAGGCAGTATGATCAAACAAATACAGGGAGAAAGAAGGGAAGAGTCAGATATACCAGTCAGTCACCAAAGGAGCAAGAGATGCTAGCAGACAGGTAATGCCACAAGCCACACAGCAATACATAGATTAATAGGAATGGATTAATTTAAATGTAAGAGAGTTAGCTAGTAACAAGTCATACTAAGTCTCTGTGAGGTAATTTCAAAAGAGCTGCTGGGACAGGAAAACTCCACCTACACCATTTTGAAAAGCAAGTAGAGCAAGTAATAGGCCAAGTGATCCAAAGGAATCTTGAAAGGAGTTGTAGTGATATATTATTTATGATTTATTAAAGCTTGACTGAGGATTCATAAAAGCAAAGTCAGCCTTAAGCTACAGAGATGAGGCAGTAGTGATACACACCTTTAATCCCAGCAGCCAGAAGCTAGGAGGTGGTGGTAGACACCTTTAATTTTAGGACTAAGAATTAAGAAGTAGATGGATCTCTGTGAATCCAAGGCCACACAGATCTACACAAGAATGAATCATTCTAAAAGAGAATTATAGCTCACATCTTTAATCCCAACATTAGGGAAGTATATAAGAAAGAAGCAAGGTCTCAGTAAAGAATTCATTGTCCAGTCACACTGAAGAGAGGTTACAGTCTGAGGCTTGGTGGAGACAGGATCAGCCCTTTTAGCCTGAGGGAGAGGTAAGAAGCTAGTGGCCAGCTGCTTTACTTTTCTGATATTCAGCTTGAAGTTTGAACCCCAATATCAATCTCTGGGTCATTTATTATTTCTTTTCCAGGCTTGTCACCAGCACTTAGAAAACCAGACCTAGGTAAAGAACTAGGCCCGGGGACACATGCATGGCCTTACTATAGCGAATGTCTAGCCCGCCCTGATTATCAATGAATCAGAACAGTGAGAATATTCGCAGTCTGGGTCCTTTATTAATTCATGTTACAGGAGGTAACCACAGGCATCCCGTAACTAAGGTGTGGCCAAGGCACCCCAGTAAGTGGGTCAGGTAAGAGCTTCACATTGGGAAATGAAGCTCAGAGAGCAGATGAAATAAGTGGTAATAGTAAGAAAATGAACTTGTCAACTGTCAAAATCTTAGAAAAATGTCTACTTTTTTTTTTTAAGATAAAGACTGCCCTGGAACTCAATTTGAAGATCAGGCTGCCCTTGAACTCACAGAGATCAGCCTGCCACTGCCTTCTGAATGTGTGTACCATCACCTCCTGGCAAAAATGTATGCTTTTAAAGAAGCAGAGGAGTTTTTCCCTTGGGACACTTTGGCAACCTTGAGGGACACCTTTGTTAGATGGGAAAAGACTGCAGGCAGTTAAGTGGGTAATCCAGGGACAGGGCAAGGCATCCTAGAACGCACAAGGCAGCAGCAACAAAACCATCCAGCCCATACCTTAATGGTGTGGAGACTGAACAACTACAAATGCTAGGCAAGCATTCTCTGAGAAGCCCTTTGAGAATCATGTAAGAGCAATTAGAAACAAGGTAAGCACTACCTGTACATGTTAATTACACTGAAAATAATGTTCAAAAACATACATACTGCTGGGTGTGAGGATGCACACCTCTAATTCCAGCACTCAGGAGGCAGAAGCTGGTAGATTTCTGTGAATTCTAGAACAGCCTGATGTTTTAGTGAGTATCAAGACAGTAGGGGCCATGTAGTAAGACTGTCTCAAAACAAACAAACATATACTTTAATGTGTATTTCATCTTCTGAGAACATCAGCATAATTGGCTGAGGGTGAAACTAGATACCAATCACTTCTGCAAGTGCCTAAGCAATGCCTTCAACAATCACACTCATCCCCTGCACACCACACTGTTACAGAATAATCTTTTTACAGACTGAAGATGACTCTTTGCCAAGGCACCTTCTGATTGGATTAATAAAGATGACTGGCCAATAGACAGGCAAAAAGAGGTTAGTCAGGAGAACCAAATTGAGAGGATGCTGGTGTTGTACTTTAAGAAAAGCAGCGTGAGAAAGACACCACTGCGGAGTTAAGGGAGTCACCAGGACACCAGAGAGATGCAAGATGAACATGTCATGCTGAAAAAAGGTACCACCACATGGCAGAGCAGATAAGAAATATGGGTTAATTTAAGTTGTAAGGGCTAGTATTAAGTCTACACTACAGGCTGAGCATTTATAATTAATAAGTATCAGTGTGGTCATCGAGTATGGCAGTCCTGACAAAAAATTCTGCCTACACAATACAAGTCAGGCTGCCTGCAACTTGAGAGAGGCTGCTTGGTGAGGAGCAACATTTCTGCCTACTCTGACAGCAGATACAATCATCTGCCTGACCACCAAACCCTAGAGTTAGCCTTGGTGACAGATATCACCTTACTGTGTGAACTCATGCAGATACCTACCCAGTGCAGACTCAGCAGTGGACACTAGACACCAAGAGGCCAGCAGGGTTGATTTACAGATAAAGCACAGTGACATGCATTTTTCAGGGGAGAGGACACTTACCACAGAACGAAATCGTACGGATTCTATCTGTCCATATTCTTTTAAAAATGACTTCAGCTTCTAAAATAAACAATATACACATACAAGTTAGCTAATACCCTGAACATCTGTGTCACAAAAGGAATAATGGAAATGGTTTAAGCACCCTTCACTGCTAACTTTAAGAACATTCCAGAACCAACTGTAGTATCATACACCTGTTATACTAGCACTAGAAACACGAAGTGGAGGCAAGAAGATTAATGTTTACATCCAGTGTCTAAAAACCAAAGAGCATGTAAAAGACAAAACAAAACAAATGACTATTCAATTGGATAGGCAAGAAGATTTTACAGAAACTTTGGAAGAAGAAAAACACAATTCAGGTTCATATTAGCATTCATTCATGACCTGCATGCTAGTTGTGTTTGTTTCAATGTTTATAATCTGTGAGACACTTAAATTGAGGTTAGACTTGTAGCCTGCCTTTTAATGATGCTGTCCCACAGGGAAATTCTCTAGCTGTTTAACTCAGACACAATGGTAAGGCGAATCCTAGTTAGTCATTTTGGGGCATTAGTCTTTGACTATCTCAAGATATGAAGAACTTACATTTTTGAGGGGTAGGAGAATAATTTCCACAACTAATTCTAATTAAAAAGCTATTTATGTATGGATATTTTTACAGAGCACCATAATAGCACACTCTTCTCCTCTAAGTTATTAAGACCTAAAAGAAAGATCATAACCAACAGAAAAATATGAACAGGAGGCCGAGGCAAGTTGATTGAGATCTCAAGGCTAGGCTAGGATACATAAGATAATTCATATGAGATCCATACCAAACTGTCAAAAACACCTGAACATGGTATTTCATTCTCATACTTGGGAGGTAGAGGCAGAAGGATTGCCATGAGCTAGAGGCCACAATAAAGACGTAACAAGGTCTTGTCTCAAAAATAAAAGGAGGACTAGAGAAGAGTACTCAGTAGTTAAGAGCACTTGTTACTCTTGCAGAGGACCTGGGTTTGGTCCCCAACACCCAAATGGTAGCTCACAATCATCTGTTACTCCACTTCCAGGGAATCCAATGCCTTCTTATGACCTCCACAGGTAACAGGCACATGTGTAGTACACATACATATGTGAAGGCAAAATATTCATACACATAAAACAAATCTAAAAAGATTTTTTAAAAAGGACAGCACATGATATTTTTACAAATCAAACACTAGGGGACAAAATAAGGTTGCTTTGTTTCTAAGGAAGAAGAATATAAACCTATCCTTCCAAAGATGAGCAGGATCTGGGCCTGAGAACTGCTCATGCAGCGACTACCAATCACATGTACACAGAAGGCAAAAGGAATGGCTTTAATGAACGCTGCAGAACGTGCTCATTCTTCCATACAACAAATATTCATTGAGCCCACACCATGTATTAGGCACCTTCTCATGTGTTCCAGATAGAATACTGAAGAAGAGAGAGAAATACACAGGAAGGAAGCCGAAGGGAGGGGGGAGCCAGAAAAAGGCACTGCTGTTTCAAACATGACCTTCAGAAGCTGAAATTAGGGGTGGGAGCCAAGCCCCAGCACCACACACAAATACACAAACACACAGCCTGCACTGAAACTGTGACTACAGAATCAGGGAGGTGCTGGCACTGGAACCCATCTATGGTATGGTGATTAGAAAGCACACTGAAGCTACTGCAATGAGTTATCAACTATTAGCTCAATAAAAAAAGCAATCTTAGTCAATAACTTCTCCAGGTTTATACTACCCATCCCACTCACCTTCTTATTACATGTGACAGGCAAATTGCCAACAAACACAGTCCTCTCATTTTTCAACCGCTCTTCTTCAGGGTTGAGTGGAACTTTTGTTCTTTGGTCCCCATCAAGGCTGAGGGCAACACCAAGTGCCTCTCCACCTGCTGCTTTACCATGAGACTGAGACTTTCTCCTTTCCTGCCCCTGTTGCTGATGAATCTCTTCTTCTAGATCAGCATTTGCTAGAGCACTTTCCCTAGTTTTTAAAAGAATAATCAAAGAGTCAAAAAAAAAAAAAAAAAAACCAACAAACAAAACAACACTTGTCAAAGCTAATCCTAACTTCTCAGTGCAAACATCTCCTGCAGGTTTCTGCTTCCCAAAATAATGCTTAGCATGCATAAACTTACCACAAGTGTCAAAGCAGCATTATTCTTAAAAAGGTAACTGATAGGAAAATCCAATATTTGAAGACATACTAAAGAACCAGGCAATAGTAGCTGCATAAAAATTTCTAAAGAAAAACCAGTCCACTTAAAGCTCTTCGAGGTTCACTTTACACTCGACTGATGCCTAATTTATCATTCTCTGCCTTTGAACTGAGAGATTGCAACATTCTCTCAGAATCTAGAAAGGTTGATATGCCCACCAAACACTCTGAAAACAGGATCCAGTCCATTGAGAAAATCAGTCCTTGCTTTTATGAGTTCTGTCTAGATGAAGGACTGCATACTAAAGTAAGTTCTGAAATGGATTTACAACAGACTACCAGTGCATTCAGACAATAAGGTCTGATGTCACACTGACAAGAGGGATCTTAAGTTGAGAGAAAAGAATGGGCAACAGGAGCCATGCAGTGCCTCGTTCACCAGTGGACACTTGCTGGGCTCCCAGGGTGCTACTTAAAAGCTTTTCAGCAGCGCACTAGAAAGGCAAGCAATTATCACAGGCAACAGCTAAATACCTGTAACAGGACTGTAAGAGAAACAGAAGACCAAGAAAGGCTTCTCAAAGAAGGAAGCAGTTTTTACCAGTCTTTAATAAATGTAATTATTATATGTATATACATCAGATCAAAAATTCCATCAAGAGCCCAAGTCTAACATTCTGTTCACTTCAATGTCTAATGCACCTGGCAAGAAAAAGGGATGAAGGGGCCCACAGAAGGTCAGGGAGTTTCAACCTATCCGTGCTCTTTCAAGATTGAAGGCCTAAGACCGAAAGGTCTAAGGTAAGGCTACTAAAGGATGTTTGGCCTTTAGTGTGGTCACTGAAAATCTTAACGTAGATAACAGAATAATTGATTTAAGGTGTAGTTAATTAAATGTCTTAATCCTCAAGGCCAGATAATAAGAGGTTTGATCTAAAGTGTAGTTATTAGTTATTTTGAGAAATAAGGAAGTAATTATATCTGTTTGTTCCCTGTACCATAGTAAAGAAGTCTTTTGCCTCCCCCTACCCACCCCCAATTTGGTTGGGGTATATAAGAATTTTGAGCAACAAACTTAGGATCCCAGTATTCACTGGATGCCTTCCCAACTTTATCTTCTGCCTCTAGCCTGTTTCTTTCCTCAATCCACACTCGCCCTCTCCGGTACAGACCAGACAGGTTGGCAGGACCCGACAGTCCTGGTGAGCATGTAATGCAAAACCACTTGACTTTATCCTTTGGAAGACAGGAAACTATCCCTGACCAACTACCCAAAAACATCACTTGGGCAGAGTGACACATACCTGGGTACTAGGGTTATACTTCAAAAATTAACCTAAGACCAGAGACACATCTCAGCAAAGCACTTTGCCTAGCATGTGTTTTTGTTTGTTCAATGTCCAGCACTACAGGAAGAGAAGGAGGGGGAAGGGAGGCAGGCAGGCAGGCAGGGAGGGAGGGAGGGAAGGAGAGAAGGGGGAGGGAGAAGGTCAGGCAGACAGGGAGGGAGGGGAGGAGGGGGGAAGGGAGAAGGGCAGGCAGAAAGTCAGATACACAGGAACATATACAGACAGGCAGGCCCAAGTCAATCGTGAAACAGAAAAGACAGAAAGAAAACAAGGTGTTTAGGAGCAAATAGGAAAGATAGTGTCATGACACCTAGGAAAAAGGAGGCCAGCCAGAGCAAGGATGGAGATGGAAAGAAGACAAACTAAAGAGAAAACTAAAGAGAATTAAAGAACAGTACTAGCTCAATGACTCAGAAGCTACAGAAGGAGGATCTTAAGCTTAGGTGTAACAGACTGGCTTACAGAAATAGTAAGACTGTTCTTTCCAGTAACAAAACAAAACAAACCAAGAGCTTCAGGGCTTAACCACTAGGAGCTACACATGGAGAGGAACAGCGCTGGTTTACACAACTAACTAGAAGTGAAGCATCAGTAATGCAGGAGGGTTTCAGTTTGAAGCCTTCTTTTTGCTGTTTTGTTGTAAGAAAGGGTTTCATGCAGCCTAGGCCTTCCTCAAACTCACTATACAGCCTAGAATAGCTCTGAATTTCTGTTCCTACTGCTTAAAGCTCTCAAGTGCTGGGACCCCAAGTATGTGTTACCACACATGGTTTAGGCAACAGCTAGGGACTGAACCTAGGGCCTTCTGTGTGCTAGGCAAACACGCAACCAACTGAACTACATCCCTAACCTCACCTTTAGGGAAACAAGGGATATACAGGTGCAGATGGTGCCAGTCAAGACTGAAAAGGTCTAGAGATCAAGGCAGACATACAGGGCAGTGCCCACAAAGAACAGTGGAGAGAAGATGACAAACATGAACTCTTTCCTAAGAGCAATCTAAAGAAAAGGTGTTCACCTTAATTTGGAGAGAAAACAACAGAGTAGAGCAGAAATACCGCTCACATAATTTACCACCTTCGAGTTGGTAGTTAGCAACTAGCAGTCCTCGGAATATGCATGACTTCCACATGCCACCATGGCATGGGTGCATCAACACACATACATACAATAAACATAATAAAAACTATTAAAAATTTTCTGAAAGAGGGTTAAAAAAATGTGAAAATAGGTTTGAAGGAGTGGAAAGGAATTCAAGTCCAAGGCTTTGTGTCACATGACTATAATCCAAACTTGGGAAACTGGGGTGGGATGGTCAGGAGCTAAAGTACAGCTCAGGTTACATAATGAGTTCAAGGACTACCTGAGATGTAAGAAACCCCTGCCCCCTCCACCTCCCCAAAAAGAATGAGGAAAGTGGTAATGGTGTAGCTGTTTGGATACTAACTCAAATATTCTTTTTTTTTTTTTTAAATTAAGTTAATGAGGAAAGTTTGTTTTCCAAGTGAAAAATCATATCATGTTTGACAGACATACTGAAACACTGCTGACATAAACCACAGGGCTACTTCCTTGCAGGGAGGAGTGATGGGGTAAGGACCTAACAAGGAAGGCCCAGAAATAACTAGAGGCAGCTGTGGAAAGTAATGTGAAAGACCTAGAGGCTTTTCTAACTTAACTGCTCACTTTGGATAAATGTGTTTTTTTTATTTTTAACTCTGTAGACTACGACACTTTATCTATTTTTCTTAATTTTAGAAATATGCAATGAGAAAAAAAATTAAGATGAACACTGATTTTTCACCAACCTGTTTGCCAGTCTCTTGTCTGCATCAGAGAGTTTCTTCGCTTTCACTTTTTTTGCAGGTTTTTGCAAAGCTGGCTTTTTAATCTGTGATGTATCTTCTTCTTCGTCATCACGTTTTCTTTTTTTAGATGTTTCCTTTCAAAAGTTTAAAGTCATACTTATGTCAAACTCTACTGTGGTGTCTTTCTAAATCGACACGTCTTCTCCCTCGCTGATTAAAGAGAGAGGCAGAGGATTCTGACAGTAGTCATGAAACCAGATTTGAGGGGTTTGGCCAGGCACTCCTGTGATACCAGCTCTTCAGTGGAAGGCTGAGAGACAGAAGTATGGCATCTACGCCTCGGTGTGTACCACTAGCCCGGGCAAGTAGTGAGACCTTTTCTCAAAATGATACGATGGAGCAGACTTGTAATCTCGGTACTCAAGAAGCTGGAGGAGGAGGACCAGAAGTTTAAGATCATCCTCGGGTACATCACAGAATTTGAGGCCTAACTAGGCTACAAGAGCCCCTGCCAATCAATAAATAGGGCTGAGGGTGAAGTGTTTGCCCAGCTCCGGGATCTGACAACTACTGCTGTCAGGCGAGTTACCCTCTAAATCTAGTTCTAAAAAGATACTAAAGACGCAGCCCGGAGACTCACCTGGGGCACAGGCACGAACACAGGTGGTGCGCGTGGCTCCGCGGTGCTGAAGAGAGCAGCCAGCCGCCCCGTCCCGCCTCCAGGAGGGCGCTGGCCGCCCCGCAGGCTGTCGGCAACCTGTCCCACCAGGTAGTCGGCGGCCGCATTCCCCACGCCATCTTCAGGGCTCTGTCTGCAAACACAGGCACATTCTCAGCCAACCCGCGAGCCACTCACCACCCGGCACCTTCACCAACACCGCGCATCACTCACCTCCGATCCTGGCCCTTCTTTCTCTTGGTTTCCTTCCCTCCCAAAGCCATGCTTAGACCTGAGCTTCCGGAACAGCCGCAGCGTGAGTCCGCACTTCCGGGCTCCGGCTAGTCCTGCGTTCTCACTGGTTCCGGGTTCCGGGAGCCTTCGGGTTCCGACTACTTCCATTCCGAGGCCTTGCTCTTCCGCTCAGGACCACGCCCCTTCCTCTCTAAGCGGTCTGCGGCTGCGCAGTAGCCCTACCCGGCTAAGGCTCTGTGGAGCGGATGGTTCAGGAGGGCATTTTGTCATGTTAGCCCAGCTTGTCAGGGAAACCTGGGCTTGGGAGTGCACCAAGTCTAACGAGTAGCTGAGGGTTCAAGTGCGAATGAGGGTCAGCCAAGCATGATGGCTCATGTCTTTAATCCCAAAATGTGGGGGTCGAGGCAGCCGGATTGCCACGAGTTCCGGGCCAGCCTAAACTACACAACTTCAGGATAGCTTTGGCTACAGAATGAGATCTTGTCTCAAACAAAACAAAATATAGCAGGGTTAGACAGAGCGTTCACAGCTGCCTATAACTCTAGCTTCAGAGAATCTGACCTTTTCCCAGCCTCAGAGGACAAGCACAAACATGCAGAGACGCACATGAATATTAAATCTTTAAATTAGGTATAGTGGTACACATCTTTAATCCTAGCACTTGAAAGGCAGGGACAGGCAGAACACTATGAGTTTGAAGCCAGTCTGTCCCAGCAAAAAAAAGTTCTACCACGGCCCAGGCCTGATGGAGAGGACTCTGTCTCAAAAACAAAAATAAATAGTTAAAAAAAAAAAAAAAGATTATTTATTTACATTCCAATCCCAGTTCCCCCTCCCTCCTCTCCTCCCATTCCTTCCACTTTTCCCCCAACCCCACCCCCATCTGCTCCTCAGAGAGGGTAAGCCCTCCCCTTAGGAAGTCTACTAAGTATGTCCCATCATCTTGTTGAGCAGGACCAAGGCTCTACACCCCACCTGACCCCATCATATTGTTGTGCCCAATTCTGAGCCCCAAAAATCACCAAGGGACTGGTTCTGATGCAAAAGCATAGAGTCTTTTATTGTTTAACGAGTTAACTCTTTAACTCAGACCCTTCGTAAGTCCATCACAGTAGATGGTGTGAGAAGGACCCCAAGGGAACGGCGAGGCAGGGAATTTATTAGCAGCATAAGGGCTGTGTCTAGGGGTACACAACAGTCTCAGGTTTGGTACACTTTGGAGCCTGGGCAACCTGTCCTGTATTGATTGGTCAACTGGTTGTTATGGCCCTCCATGGCTGTTGCTATGTTCTGCATGTTGTTGTAAAGCATATTAGCTAACTTCTGAGTGGATCCTTGCCATGTGGAGGCTATCTGACCTAAGGCAGCTATGGCAAGGTCAGAAGGCTGTAAACCAACCACTTGTGCTGAATCAGGGGCCTTTGTCTTGTTAGGTCTTTTCTGCAGCCTGTCATGCTGTTAAAGCAAGGGGCTGGGTAAGGGTCTGGTCCCTTCATTATCTCTCCATATAGAATGGGCCCCACAAAGTTTGTGCGCCAGAGTTAGAACTTGGACCTACTGCCAGTGGACTCATATTCCCCAAGTTGCAACAATGTCACCTGTATTCAGGAAGTCCAGTTCAGTCTTAAACAGGTTTCCAAGTTGTCAGACCAGAGTCAGTGATCTCTCACTAGCTTAAATCAGCTGATTCTGTGGGTTCCCCCATCATGGTCTTGACTCCTTTGTTCATATTATCGATTCTCCCTCACTTCAATTGTACTTCAGGAGCTCGGCCCAATGATTAGTTGTGGATTTTTTTTAAAGTCCAGCAAGATGTTTCAGTGGGTAAAGGATCCTGCCACCAAGCCTAATAATATAAATTCAATCCCTGAGACACACCTAATGGAAAGGGAGAACTGAGTCCTGCAAGATATCCTCTGGCCTCTACTTTTGTGCCATGACATACATACATATACATACTAAATAAAAATGTAATAAAAATTTTAAAATATTAATTCTAACTTTGACAGGCAGTGGTGCACACCTTTAATCCTAGCACTTAGGAGGCAGAGGTAGGCGGATCTTTTTTAGTACAAGGCCATCTTGGTCTACAAAGTGAGTTGCTGAACAGCCAGGACTATTACACAGAGAAAATCAATCTCCAAAAACCAACCAACCAGCCAACAAAAAAAGTTTTTAAGAAGATATAAAAGAGCCAGGCAGTGGTGGCACAGTCCTTTAATAACCAACACTCAGGAGGCAGAGGCAGGGGGGATTCTCTGTGAGTTCGAAGCCAGCCTGGTGTAAAGAGTGAGTTCTAGGACAGCCAAGGCTACACAGAGAAACCCTGTTTCGAGAAACTATTAGAAAAAAAAAGTTACAGGTGGGTCATAGCCCAATCTTTGAGAGACAGAGGCTTAATTATAAATAGGAATGAACCTAGTTTTCTTTATTATAAGATAGCTTTTAAGCCTAAGGTGGAGACAGGCTGGTTCTCCATTTCCCCCTTGTCTTATACATCCCTGGAAAACACTTGATAGGGGCTAAGCATTTTTCGAGAAAGGGTTTTTCTGTGTAGCTTTGGAGCCTGTCCTGGAACTCCCTCTGTAGCCCAGGCTGGCCTCAAACTCGCAGAGATCCTCCTGCCTCTGCCTCCTTGAGTGCTGGGATTAAAGGACTGTGCCACCAATGCCCAGAAGATCTAAGCATTCTTTACTGGGGTGGGAAGAGGGAACAATATTTGTAATGCATCAAAAATGCATTGCTCATTTATAAAATCACACCTGTTTTTTGTGGCTATAAATAGAACAAAAATTTTAAGGCCATATAATCTTGGTATATCTATAGGTAGCCATTTTGTCCCCTTTACCAGTGAATTTCCTTAGACCTAATATTCCAGCCCTTTTTTGAGGACAAGGGATGATGTATTCTCCTCTGTAACTACCTCCTGATGAAATTAGGATGCCAGGAGGGCTGGAATGTTAGCCAAATACCAGGAGGGGATTTGGGCAATGGGGTGTTCATCAGAAGCATCTGATTGCTGACCCAGCTGAAGAGACAGGGAGCAATCACATGGTCTAGACTGGTCTACATCAGCTTTCAGCAAGTCCAGAGCTTCCGGTTTTATAGGACTACCTGGGTGGTGTAGATCATACTTAGGACAGTTTGGTTTCTGGATGGTATCTACCAGCTTAGTGGAACTCTGCCAAGACAGATACATACTAGGGACAGAAGTTAAAGTAAAAGAACTTAAAGGAAACGTTTATGTTTGAAGCTCCACCCCCACCCACAGAAATAGGCAGTAGGTAGGGAAGTTTTGGCTGTTGATTGATTGATTGACAGGGGTACTTACCTGGACCCTGTTAGATAAGTGAGAGGTGGATCCAACCAAGTCTTTTTTTTTTTTAAACCCTTGAAGCTTACAATACCATTGTTTTGTTTGTCTTTGTTGTGTGTGTGTGGGGGGGGGTTTCTGAGACAGTGTTTCTCTGTGTAACAGCCTTGGAGCTCACTTTTTAGACCAGTATGGCCTCAAACTCACAGAGATCTGCCTGCCTCTGCCTCACAAGTGCAGGGATTAAAGGCACCCTCAATCCCTGCTACAATACCTTGTTTGTAACAGTATTTGCAAAGCAAGTCCCTTAAAGGGCAAAAGTTATATCCTTCACTGTGGAGCCTGTTAATAAGGGCCTTTGCCTTATTAACACCTTTTGTCTGTGAGTTTGCCTTGTTTATTTGGTGACCTAATAGTTCTAGAAAAGTAAGGCCTGGTTTTTAAATGTGAAACGTATTGACCAGGCAGCTGCTGTTAAGTTGATGAAGCCATAGTTAGCCATCAACACAACCAGAGGTCTAGAAGGATAAATTATAACGGGAAGTATAATCCGAATGACTTACATATCAATTAAAATGACAGAGGCCTATGCATTACCTAGATGGTTGCCTTAGGCTCCGGTGGGTCTTGATGGTTTCAATGGGGGCAGTGGTTGAAGGTCTTTGACTGTCATACAGGACAGCATTAAATCTTCAGCTACAATGCAGGACAGCATTGACTTTTGTCTGTCAGACCCAGATCTGAGAGACTTTCCTGTAGAGAGGAAGCTGGGGCACTGACCTTAGATTGACCGGGCAGAGTAGAGCAGTCAATCCACCAGTGTTCACAGTGTGAGCAGAGCCTGAGCAGCAGATGAGGCCTGGGCAGTCCTTCCCGGTGGTTTACTTACTGCAATTCCAGTGGAGTTGTGCCCCATTATCTTCTTTGTACCTCAGGGTTGCTGCTAGGAGTTAGAATCTCTGTCTATCATAGCAAGTTTTGACATTAAACATTTTAAATCCCATATTCAGCAGATCTCTGCAAAGTTTTGACAGCTGCCTACCAAGTATACCTAATATTAAATAAACCTTACTTGTAAAGAATGTATGTGATCATTTATAAGGTCCTATTAATCTGCATGTCTTAATTATGTTTAACACATTTGTAGCTACAAGTTACTAGCTTTTATAAGATTAGTATTCCGGGCCAGGCATTGGTGGCATACACCTTTAATCCCAGCACTTGGGAGGCAGAGGCGGGTAGATCTTTGTGAGTTCAAGGCCAGTCTAGTCTACAAAGCAAGTTCCAGGACAGGCTCCAATGCAATACAGAGAACCCCAGTCTCGAAAAAAAAATTAGTATTCTACAGTTTTATCCCTGTTAAATTTAACCTTAAAAATTACAATCTTTGAATTGAAGCTTATTTAGTATCAAAATAAAACTTTAAATCATAACCACAGTCCATAGGGAGACTGGGGACTTTACTCTCCTGGTCCTTTTATAGTGCTCCATTGCAGAATATCATAGTGTCTTGTGTGACTCAGTTTATCAAAATGGCTAAGGCTTAACAAAGTTAGCAAACACAAGAAGGCTAGACGTACATTCCTAAGTCAGTTTCTATTAGCCTGAAGAGGTCTTAGATAAGGGAGAGACATTTAATAGATTTTTTGTCAGACTCCTTAGGTCATTATATTGCTAAATCATAAGATAGGAACATCCCAGTTTCTGGTGTTTAGTAGTTGTGGCCCTAAATTTAGTTGGCTGGTGACAATGATAGGTGTTTGGGATTCCAGTGTAGCCTTGACCTTTTCTCAGGGTGAGT